CACTCCTCTTAACTGCAAGAGTCCTGCCATGCTCCAAACCCCTCACCATCATCCACCTACACGCTGGCCCACTTGAGAACTGGAGCTGTCAGTCTTTCTGAGTCTGATCTGACTGACTGACCAATCCTTCACCAGTCCGAGATAATTTGATATGCTGTTTAATGCCACTGGGGTCAGAGGGATCAGAAGCATTTTGATGAACTCCACCCCCCACTTCTCAATAGTAGCATCAGTGTTCCACTGATTAAATTCATTTTCTGCTGTAACGAGTATGAGTTTCACATTATTTTGACAGGACACGTCCCTTTACCCGGCACTTACCGACATGGTCTCAGATGCAACAATTGCTTGCTTTCAATGACAATCATGCTCTGAAGAAAATCACACTGGGACACTGAAGTGTCCAATTTGTGGTCAATTGCTTTATTTAAAGAGATCATTGGGCCTCTCTCAACAAACTGAAGAGCCTATTAGAATCTCAGTTAGAGTGGAGTAATAGAAATGCTTTATCAAAGAGGACTGAGGTCCTTCAACAAGTGTGCTAGCACCTTTTGCTCTCCATGCTGCAGCTCAGTGTTTTATTATCTCCACACAGCAGGCGGTCTTTAGTCCACGTGAGACATTGTTCCTCTGGCAAGCATTATCCTTGGGAGTACATGTAGACAGTGCCTGGAGCCTGATAGCCAGTGCGACCAAAACACCAGTGATATCCCCTCATGGGGTGGGGTGGGGGGGGACACAGAGGGGGAAGGTGGCACAGTGTAAAATATGCACAGGCAATTCCAAAGACTATGCATTATTGAGAGGAGTAAATGGGTCTAGGATGAACATCATGGCTCATTAATAGTGAATGTGATCACCATTTCTGGGAAAACAGCAGTCTGGGCAAGGGGGGAGATAATAGAAATGGTCACATCTAAACTAAAGGCTTCCTTGTTTACTCAGCACCAACTGTTACTGTTTAGTCAAACTCATGACTAAAGCTGAAAACTAATGCTGCCAAGCAGCCTGTTATGATGTTAACTGCGCCCACTGAAAACTACTTTACTCCCCTCTTGACCAACATTTTCCTATGCCTGACTTTGTCATTCAAGGGTTTTGGAGAAGGGTTGGACTCATTCATTTTTTATGATCTCAACTTTGGAGTCAACTATGCATCAATTACCAACAGGATTTTGACAAAGCCGAGACAGAAAATGAGTGAGCATTTTAGATATCCCATTATAAAGTGGAAGAGTCGGCTGAGTGAAGGTCACACACTGGGGGTGCCGGTTGAGTGACTTCCACTGTTTGACATGCAGACTTACTAAGCAACCCAGCATCATCCTGCAACACAGACAACAGATTTAGTTTGACGTGAACTCAGATTATCATGGTCCCCCCGAGGAGTTCCCACGCTGAACGAACAGATGCTTCTTCCTCTTCCTCTTCTGCTGCCTCCCCTCTTTCAGTTACATATGCTCCAGGGTGCTGGACGACAAAGAGGCTGGCTGCAGTTTACATGAGACGAACCAAGCGCCATTAGGGACCATTTTCTGCCCATTTCCCTGATAGCTGCTATCTGTTATAGAAGTTATTTGCTCTCTGCCTGTGCACTGAGCATCCCCTATGATGGATCTCTCATTGATTTGTCAATGCTGGAGAGAGAACAGTACAGAAACCAAGCAGATGTGCCAGTCAGAGCTCACCTATCAATCAGCTGCTAGTGAAGGGGGACAGTTTAAACCTCTCTAAGGATCCCATTCTCAGTGACTTACGAAAAGTGCTTATGCTAATCTTGTTATCACTTCAGGCTGCTGGTAATGGAGGATAGGAAGCTGTTGGCAGGTCGTAGGCCACATTATTTTTGCTCTTCCATTGCAGAGGCACCAAATGGTCCCAGACTATTACATGTTACTGCATGGATGCCTGCATCTCACTGCTGAATAATTTCTCCATCCTGACACTCGGAAATCTGCATGGCTTCAAGGCTTTCATGACCAGCTCACACTAGGATTAGGAACTGACTGTGTTTCTGGGTGGTAATCTTATTTACTGCTCAGAGTGATCTGATCTAAGTGCACGTGTTAAGTTGTGATACCATACTGTGGTGTCGTGTTTACATGCATTCACATAAATTTCATACTAGCTGGCCTTATATAGCCTACAGGTTAACACTCAAGGGGTGATGGACAGAAAATATGAGTGCATTGACCCCCACAGCTATTGTTTGATCAGTTGTCATTCACTGCAGCTGATGGGACAGAGTCAGAGAATGTCAGGGAGCTCTCCATAAACAAGGCTTTAATGGTCTTTTGAAGTTTTCAATAGTTAAGTTATCAACCTGCAGGCTGTTCACATCTCTACACAGTTTGTAATTTAAAATGTAGATGCAATGACTATTATTTTCTGAAGAGAGTTCACTTTCAGTGACTGGTTAGAGCAAATTGAGGACGTGATGAGGATCCTGAAAGCATTAATCAAATAAAGGTCAATTTATGATTGACATTTGCTAGCGGATGAGGGAGAGAATCAGGCATGGAGGGAGAGAGAAAACCTGAAAAATATGCTGTTATAGACGACAGCATTGGCAGAACTGGCCTTACACATTCTGGGCCAATCAAAGGAAAAAGGACAGTACAGCACTCTCTGGACATCTGCTACAAAACTATTAAGTAAACACAAAGCTAGTGAAAGCACTGAACAGACACTAGAAAGAAAGTGTCCACAGTGAGCAACCACTGACCAACTGAAAAGGTCACTAAATACAGAGTGAATGATCACAACCTGGCCACAAACCTGGCAACACAGAGAAAACAAACCCACAACAGTGTCAGGCTGCCAAAAACAAGAAACCGAATGCTACACTGCAGCCTGTATAAAGATGGACCAAGCTATTTATCAAAATAAAACTCAGCTACCAAGAGCTCGACACAGTCTCAGACTCCACAGCGCTTGTATTTTATTATACTACACTACAAAGCTCCGACACATTTTCCCACTGAGTGTGAAAGCGTGTCCAAACTCTTAACAAGTAGTGTATGTAGTTAACTGACTGCCATTGGAGAAGAAAGTCCTCAGATCTTTGACTTAAGTAAAAGTACAGCACCTACAGTGGCACTACAGCAATTCAAAACTACTTAACAACAAATAAAAATCCTTGGTTCAAAATTATACTTACATATGTAAAAGCACAAAGCAGCAGGACATGTTTAAAAGTACTTATAAAGTACTGCAGAAAAGCACCGCTGTGAGTGACGCGATCATATATTACATGATTGCATTGTTACAAAATGGTGACAAACGAAAGCTTTTTGGACATTAGACAGAAATAAAACCTGAACTTGCAGACATTTGATAAGGAGCTGCAGCTAGACACTGCTCATTGTAAGAGGCTAAATTGGTGTAGAATCACAGCCTTCATCTTTAACAATGCTTTGCATTTTATAAGCTTATCATGTTTTATCCTAATCTGCAACAGTAGCTACTGTCTTTCCAGTAAAGGCAGTGAAGTAAAAATGTACAATATTCTCTTCGTAAATGTAGAAGTATAAAGCAGCATCAAATGGAAACATTCAAGAATAATTATACCTGCACCTTGTACGTGCTGCTTTGACACAGTAGTTTAGATAATTATGGTCATGTCAAGCAAGCAAATTTGTTTGACAAACCCAGAAAGAGGATGAGAGAATAGGCAGGTGAGCACTGGCAGAAAAGGAGAGAAAGAGCGAAGCTCAGGCAGAGTAGAGAGAGAAAGGCAGTCTATATATAGGTAGAGAGTCTTGGAGAGAAAGCGAACCGATAAGGGGAGCAGAGGTGAGAAGGAGGGTGATATGCAGACAAAACTGAAACCTTAGAGATGAATTACAAACTATATCATTCAGTGCTGTGATACTTCAACAAACTGTTCTGACATTTAAAGTGTTCGAAGGCAGCCTTCAGATGTGTAACGAGTGTACACAGGTTGAAAATCTGCTGTTGCGATGTTGACAGGGTGGAGCATTGTGCTCTACGTCTGCATAGGCAGTCTCTCTCTCTCTCTCTCTCTTATGCACTCTCACTCTCTCCTCTGTTACCTTGGCAACATGTTTTATGCATGGAAATAGCATCTCTTGCTGTGTCCAACACAAAAAAACCGCTTTGAGATTTAAACCTGTCTAGAAAAGGTTTAAGTTCAGGCCTACAAATTGGATGGAATTGAGTAATACTGTTCTACATGCCTTACCATCAGTGGTGGATGGTGCAATGGTTGGGTTAAACATACAGTAATAGTCACTGAGAGACTTTTAGCATATGCAACCAAGGATGTAGTGGGACGTATACAGTGGCTTTAGAAGTATTCAGATTTTCAAATCATTATTTAATTTGGAGCAACACAGCAAATAGTCTGAATATATTTGTAAATAAATTATGTTAGTTTCTGATTTTGAATATCCGTGCAAAACATTTTAAAAAGCTTTTCACTTTGGGTGTGTTGAATGCAGAACAATGGCAATTTTATCCATTTACTGTACAATGAAATCTATAAAACAAAAGTGTGTGCAAGAAAAGAAGGAGTCAGAATAGTTTATGAGGTCGCTGTGTAGGTAGGAAATGTGAAATGTATGAGGATTAAAAATACACAAAATACACAAACCTGATGTTAGACATAGCTCACTCAGTATTATATTTACTCTGGTTGTTTGCCTCAGGATTTACATACCCTGAACACTACCTGATTATGAAATTCATTTCATGACAAGCAGGGCTCAAGCAAAGAAAGATCTATGTGGGAATGTTATTAAAATAATGATGTTACTTAAATAAAAATGCACAGAGACTGAGCTGTATGGATTTCCAGTCAGGAGTCAGAGGAGTTTAGTGCAGCTACTCGGGGTATATTTTTGCTGTGGCTGCCTGGTATGCTTCGCTGTGATAAACCTTTGTTTTCTTGCCACAAGAGCCATACACACACAGAAAGAGAGAGAGAGTGTGTGTGTGTGTGAGAGAGAGAGAGAGATACAAACTAATGAAAGAAAATCTTGACATTGAGATTGTACATGAGATCACACCGGCTGCAAATAAGCTAAGACTTGGTGAAAGCAGAGGGAGAAAGTGAAAAAGGGAATCACATCCAGGTAAACCTGCAGCACAGGATTAAAAAAGAAAACACACACACACAGTGCCTTGACTCCTGGGTGAGAGAAGCCATAATGAAATAAGCATCTGAAAGAGAGCAGGTGTTGGAGGCTTGACAGACTTCAGCTGCATAACAAGTAGCGCATTTACTCTCCCCTGCCTTTGTCAATCAAAACAACCAATCCTGTGAATAAATGTTCCTTAAAAAAAAAACAACAACAGAAACCTCCAAGTGGAGTCACGTCTGAAGCAGCCCTTGTGTCCTCTATCTGTTTCAAAAATGCACATATGACTCCGGTCAAAGTTGTTCGCAGGTAGAGGAAGAGAGCGCCTGGTTCCGAATTTCAAGCAGCAGGACTGAGCTATTTGGAGTCTAAAAAGCCAGTAAGTCATCAGGAATGCGCTGAAGAAAAATCATTTTATCTCCTCAGCAGAAGCACAAAGCAACACAGCTCCCTTTTGTTTTTCTGTTTCTCTTTAGATCGCTCTTTCTGACAGTTCAGGAGTTTTCAGGGGGGAAAAAGACTCAGTAGAGAACTCTTCAAACAGCATATTTTACTACACACAGAAGATTGATGCTAATGACATTGTAGCCTGGGGATCAGCACCATGGACAGCACCATTACCTGGTTGGGGCTGTTACAGATCAGTGCCAGTAGGGGGCAGTAGGAGCAGGTCTGGGCTCTACAGATAGAAAGACCAGGATCAGGCCAAAAGAGCAGGACCTTAGCAGGGCGCTGAGGCAGACAGGTGTACTAATCCTACTGGCTGCACAGAGAAGAGATGGGCTTATGTGTAACCTCAAAAACTGCAAGTGGAAATCTGAGGAGGAAGGAAATCCCACAAAGCTGACGGAGATTTTATCATTTGTGTTACTCTAAGTTAAACTTGAATGAAAGCTGACACTTGAGTTATAGCTCCTTACTTTTGGATAAAAAAAATAAAAACATACAGAAAAAGTATTCAAATTGAGTGAAAGTATCATAAAATACTTCAAACTTAAGCAAATCCTTTTGTGCATTAAAAATCACACTGCAAGTATTAGCAACAAACTGTCATAAAAAATAAAGTACTCAGTGTAGATGGGGCCCTGTCAGAGCTTTAATATTATTGGGTCATTATTACTGATCCCTAACATGTAAGTTAGGTCAAGGTAGAGCAAATTTTAGCTGCTTTTTAAATTGTATTTTGTTCTATAAAAAAGAAGCCAATGATAAAAATGCATGTTTTTGTTTTAATGTGAAATTTTAATCTGTAACATTTAGCTGTGAAATAAATGTACCACCCTTAGAAATATAGGAGTATAAATTTAGATGTATAGAGTAAAATAACATAGAAATATTGTATTTATGCACTGTAACTAACTAGATAAGTTAATTTCCACCACTGATGACATGTGGTGTGTTTGAGGGTTAGTAGAAGGCGTACTTCTAATTTAAAAACTTTGCCTTGAGCTTTGAAAGCTAGTTGATGAAAGAAAATGCACAGTATGTCCTTAAGTGCAAAGTGATGTCTTTAAATTCATTTAACCACTCCAAAGCACCAAGAGTGTGTTGAATTAAATTATTCTAACAATAAAAATAAAGGAAATGGAAAGTAATTTATGTCTAGATGAGATGAATGGTATAGTCAAAGAGATACACTTTGTAAAAACTGTGTGTTTCAGAAGGGTTAGAATGACCCATTTTATTGTGGGCAATTGAGATACATGGGTGTAAATATCATCAAAAGAAGTTAATGGTTGAAATCTGTACATTACATTCTAACAAAGAAGGTGATGATCTCGCAGTTGATTCAATGTTCTCTTCAGATACTTTAACTGAGACATCCTCCGAGTACGGTTATACAACTCATTCATCTGTGTAAAGACAGGTCATGGAAAATATAAAGCAATGCAGGACTAAAAGTTTAATTGGTTAACACTTTAAACCACACCTCTGTCTATGTCTACATAATTTCAATACAGCCATACAATACAAGTGTACAAGGTTATTTTGTGGTTAGAGAAAAATACAACCAAAGAGTGTATGGAAATGCAAACATACAGATGTATTAAACTTCTCATACAAGTGAAACAGGTCACACAAGGCCTTCTGTATCATAGGTATGATCTCATAATGCAGGAGGGGGGGAGAAAAAAAATGACACAATGTCACTAACCATAGCCTGAGTCAAGTGTACAATATGCACACTTCAGGAAAATAAAAGCTAGGCCAGAAACTAAAATTACTAATAGTGCTGCTGCTTCTCTGCTCACTCTGGTAAAAAGAAGTCTCTGATGTTTGTCCACAGGTTCCATCTTCTGGCAGCTGAGTGCCACTGGAGACAGGGATTGTGTTGGCCAGGACTTTGGGGAACAAAAAAACAAAAAACAAAAAATAAAATAACAAAACACTGTGTTCCTCATCCAGTATGACAGCAGAAAAAAGGGGACAGAGGGAAACTGGCTGAATTTCAGTGTTTTAAAAGTCTTTTACTCTGTCAGATTTTTTTTTTTATATAAATCAATAAGTCTCAAGCTTATCGTTTCATATGTGCCACTAAGATGCGCTTTATTCATCTGTGTGGCTTGACACTGGTGGGTGGGTTCTCATTGGTTATTTTTGGCTTTGGCATGTGTGAGAATGTGAGACTTGAGGTTGGTCGACTGGGCAAATTTCTTATTGCAGCCGTCGAAAGGGCAGACGTAGGGTCGGTCTCCAGTGTGGATCCGCACGTGTGTGCGCAGGTTGAAGTCCAGAGAAAACCTTTTCCCACAGCCCTCAAAAGTACACTAAAAGAAATAAGAAGAGCAAGGGAGTTAGTTTTCATGTTCACCTTACTGCATGTGACATCTACCTTCTGGGCTTAATGGACCGTTTGTTAAACCGTTCTCCCGAACAGCGATTTCCCAATCACAGCTTAGCAAGGACAGATCTGTCAGCAGCTATAGATTTATCCACATCTTAAAGTGGGGAGCATGAGGCTGTACTATGAGTGACGCTGTGTAATTAAAAGGTGCGTTAGCCAAGATTTCACACAATGTCTGATAAGTCAAGTGAAGATGGGACAAAATGTGGTGTCTCTCTACTGTGCTTCTCCCTGCCATGACACTCTGCCACCTGCAGCCCTTCTGTTGTTAATCTAGCTTCTCTGTCCTGTGTTGTCAAGGGGTACTTCACATTTGCCAAGCGCACGGGTTAGTGTTCATCCAAAAACTATCTGCTCTTGCAGCATTAAATGTGAGAATATACAGTTTGAATGTGCAGCTTTAGTCTCATTCTTATCAGAAATGTAATTAATATGAACTGTCCCTGTCAAATAAACAAGCCACTGTTTCAAACATGACTAAGAATTTGGATTGTAAACCTGCCACTATTATCTTAACATCATCATATGCATATGTGCTAGAAGACAAATCTCGACAGGCATTGTTAAAGTAATTAAAGGGGAGGGCTTAACGAATGGTCGACCAGAAGGGACTGCTTTACTTGTCAAAACATTTCATCTTGACTGAAATATATCTGTCATTAAAGAGAATAAATCCAAATAAATTCTACCAACATTTGGTACTAGGTGGGAGTTCATTCTGAACACTACGAGTATAAGCAGGCCGTTATTATCCCCGTCTCCACTGACTGAATTTGATTTGAAACTACAATGATCTTAAGTGTTTAAAATGTAAAAGTAGTGCAAGTGTATCTGTGCTGGGGGGGTCCGTGAAGTTATTCCAGATGCCAACCTGGAAGGGTTTTTCCCCTGTGTGAACAAGTTGGTGACGTTTGAGTTTGGAGCTCTCGACAAAGGCCTTGCCACACTCTGCGCAGACGTGCACGCGTGGTCCGTGGGTATGGAGGTGCTTCCTCATGGCAGAGTTATCCCTGAACATCTTTGTGCAGCCCTGGGGACCGAAGAAAATCCAGGAAAGAATAAATAAGTTAATAATATAATGTTCAATAATGGCATTTCTTTGTACAGCAATATAAAATTCTACTTTTTCTCTAACTCCTTTTAATCAGACTTTAATCCTGAAAAGCAGTGTAGCTACCTAGTGTAGCTTTCTTCTTCCCTGATGCTGTAATGTATTATTGACAACCTCACGCTGATTACAAAATAAAAGCCTTTCCATTAGCTAAACATGCACAATTCAGATAAGGACTGATTAATCTTGTAAATACACTCAGATGCTTTTTATGCTTTTAAATAACCTTTAGACAATTGTACAGAAATCATCAGTGCAAGACTATCAAATAGGAAAAATGACTATTAAAACCAGAACCGTAAAATCCCATAATAGACTCACTTTATGAGGGCAAGCTATTGTCCGGGGAGCATCGTCCTCTTTGACTTTCCTGGGCTTCATTCTGTTTAGAAAAAAAGGACATGGTGTAGGTTTGTTAAACAAAAACAGACGTGATGTGGCTCAAGGCCGTTGCTTTAACAAGGCACTAGTCCAATTTCTGTTGATTTATAACCAGAATAAATCCAAATCAGAAAGAGGCTGTCTGTTACTGTAAAAACATCCACACTAGACAATTCACCTCCAAATGGCTCTTCTTCAGAAAAGTTAAGCCAAGCAGACACTGTACAGCTTTTACTGATTGTATATAATGTGTGAACTCACACTACACGTTTACATCGGCCCACCTGCACAGCCAGGATTCATGCCTTCACTGCTCACACTATACATTCACTCAGGCAGGCACGACGTATGTGCTCATACTGGACATTTAAACAGAACCCCAGAGCAGGTGTGTTCATCGACAAGTCCAGTGAAGTTTAGGTCAACCAAAGGAAAGACAGTTATCTTTAGCCATTTTACTTTGTACAGCTGATGAACAGCTTTAATCTGCTGCCAGTATTTCTCCTGTTGCTGCGGATCATCAGTGTTTCGATGACACACTGTGGCGCTGCCAGAGTTCGATTAGCTTCAGCCATATACAGTCTATAAATATCTTATATCCAGTTTATGGCTTTGTTCCAGTTGATTCTGTCCACAACATGTGATATCTCATCTGTGCCGTGTTGTTAAGTTGTTGTCTTTGTACTCAGGTGTGTGCACTGAATTAACATCAGACTGTGGATCTGCAACACAGCCAACCAGATTTCTGACATGTCAGTAATCCATCCGAGTTGTCAGGAGGCAGCTCACTGGTTGTTCGGGTTATAACACGGGTGCTGGAATCCTGCTCATACTGTACATCAAACGACAGCTACATTCTAGAAGTAGTCAGGGATGACTGAATCGTGTCTAAAAATCCATACAGTGTCTGCTAGACCTCAAAGATTCTGCAATGTTATTATGGCAAATAGTCACAAAACCCAGTGAGCGTGCATGTTTACTGGCCTCACCATAAAATTAGCTGTTTTTCATTTAACTGACCTGCATTTACACGGCTACATGAGGTGAAACAACTGGTCTGTAAGGATTTGAATAAATCACTTGTCTTTTTTGAACTATACAATGTAAGAGATTTCTTCTATTAATATGATACATTCCATCTTTGTGATTTAATTGTGTTGTCCTTTTGTGTACTCAGAGCTGTCCATAGTTTGTTTTTCCCTCAAGAAACCAGATGCACACTTACCTGGCAAATTCAGCCAGCTGTTTGGGGTCTGAGAGGTCGATCCCTGGGATCCCACCAGGGGGCAACTTCTTCCCCGTCATGTACTCAGAGTAATCCGGAGGGGAGTTCTCCCCGACTATCTGTTCCTCCACCACCGACTCATGGTCGATGTCTTTATTGTCATCTAGAAATACATTACAGAGACTGAACCGATAACATATTGGTGTTTCCCTAGCTACAAATCTGAGGGGGTTGTAAACATCTGCAGCTGCGTTGGTCCTCAGGTTACATTAGAAGTCACATTATTGTTGCACAGTTACTTTGGAGTTACATGAATAGACAAACTAATTTATATACTTATTTTCACACACAGTTGCAAAGAAAAGTTATGGCACTGTCTGCAGTTTCCTAGTTTTCTCCATAAACTGGTCATAAAATATGATCTGATCTTCACCAATGTCACAAATATCAAAAAGCACAATATTTCTAATCTGATAAAAGACAAACAGTCATGACCTTTCATGTATTTATTGAACTTGATTGTGTTTTATCAGCTTAGGAATAGTGTGCTTTTTGATATTTGTGACTCTGGTGAAGATCAGCTCACATGCAGAAAACCAGCAGGGTGCAAACAGTGCCATAACTTTTTCTTGCACCTGTATTAACCATGTAGTATTTACTTATACAAATTCACAATATTGTAGAGTTTTACTCCATATTTTGCACATATTTTTTAAAAAATGAGAGAGAAAATAAAAATCTAATGCTAATGCCACTCACAATAAGACATGACAAAAGCGCAGAGGGCAACATTAAGAACATGCTTAAGCTAAATATTTAGAATTAAATATTATTGAGAATGCACATTTAAAACTGTGGAAACCTACACTATGGTATACATCTAACGTAGCCTATAGTTTGTAAATATTAATTCTTACTATATAAAGCCTGGAATTTATCAAGAAGACCCATTGGCCCCATTTAACTACGATGTTCATGTGTTAAAATTGCTCCTACTCTGTACCAACCACCAGAGAGCACTAAATATAGCCTCGGATAGCTGTTGTGTCCACTCAAAAACAAGTTCTGAATATGTATACAACGAAGTAATGGATCGGTGACTTCTTAAAACGTAGCAGTTAATAAAATTGGAAAAAGAAGAGAGAAAAGAAAATACGGGCTCTTGCTTGCGTGATCAAGCCGCCTTTCAGCAGTGATAGATTACCTTATGCTCGGTGTTGCTCAGCACAGTCTCGATGCACGGAGGCTGTAGCTAGTGTGCAGCAAACGCATGTCTGGTAAACCACCACCAGCAGCAGCAGTCATAGCTAAGTGCTTCACTAGCTAATAGAACCTCGCTCAAAAATTACCGCATACTAAGCTTTCAAACACTTTACACAATCTACCAGCACTACATTTGCTGCCTTGCAATGTGTGCGCTAACGTTTTGCGGCCTGCAGACATCCCAAACCTAGCTGTCTGTATGTCCCCCGAGCACCGCCGCCATCTCTGCCTGGCCGCGACTATCGCCATTTTTTCGGGGCCGCCGCCATACTTACTGGTCTCGGGGAATATGGCGGCGCCCAGCAACACCTAAAACATGGCCTCCCTTCAAAACAAAAACATTTCGATGTGATACAATAGGGTTTTACATCGAAATCTTGCATTATTTGTCGCTTCTCACGGCAGTGCAACGGACCTCTCCAGGAACTAGTCTGGTGCAGGAGGACAACGCCCTAGCAACGAGGCCTCATGCAATTGCTAACAACGGAGCTGAAAGATACGACTGGGCTAACGTTACTTACCCGATGCCCACATTGTAACAGAAAACTCCCCTTCCAGTGTCTTTATTTGCACCTGCTTCTGTTCCCATTTTCTTCCGCCAGCATCCGCGCCGCTTAAATAGCTCTTTTTGCCTGCTTTCTTTCCACCAGTGCCGCCTCCCCGTTTCACCCGACCCACTGAGCTCTTTCCAGCCACAGTTACCAAAGTCTGCTCGATGTACTCATCCTCCACCCCCGGAGCCGGTACCGGGATGAGGATCTGGTCCTCGAAACCGCTGCCGCCATCCGTGTGCAGGTCCGAGTCATCCCCACCGACTACCTCCTCCCGGGTCTGGACCAAGATTACCTCCTGGTGGTGGTGGATTGAATTGGGGTCGTCCGTGACCAGAGGCTGGAGCGCGATCATGGGCTGCTCGTCGTCGTCGTCGTCGTCGTCATCCCCACCGACCACCGTGGTCTCGATAGTTTCCACCGGTATCGTTTCCACCTCTATCTCGTGAAGCTCCACGATCTCGGCCGGCATCTCCGAGCCGTCTGTCTCAATGTACAGCGTATCTCCGGATGCCATATTGAATTCCGCCAGTTTGACTGTCTCATTCACGCCGTGTTGTGCTCCTTTTTGGACCTCACAAACACACTCACACACCCCCTGCCCTGCTACTGCCGCCGTCTGTTCTCCCTGTTCTTCGATAACAACTCTCCCCACTCCGGCCTACGCTAGTTCTCGTCGCCACTATGCTCTCTCATACGGAAACATCGCGAGACCTTGTTGAGTCCATCGTTAGTGGTTGGTATTTTGGGTTCAAGGGAGTTCCCCAAGTTTATAAATTAGATACGAGGTTCAGTTATACAGTTGTCCGCAAAGCAGAAAAAGTCAGAACACAGTTTCAATACATATAAGCGGGTAAATTGATTTAATTTGTCCATGAAAATTCCAGAAATGCCATCCACAAATCAACAGCTGCCTAAAAACCAAGGGGCTTGAATGGGACAAAATGGGAATGCATTAACATTCCCTCATGTGGTGTTCCTAGCCATTTTTAATGTCTGTGAAAGCCATAGCATCATTTGGGCCATGGCCCCCATCCTGAGATTACTGGCCACCACCCACCCCTCCCCCTACAAATGACAATTGTAATTCTTTGCAAAGCAAGACTTTAAAAATCCGACATACATTTAAGACATAACATGCTTTGGTTGAATTTTGAAGGGAGCATTCTCAAGAAAATTAATTATTTGTGCACATGATTTAAAATGAAATGCCATGTTAGTTGTTAGTCAGATTATATAAATCATTAATATGTGACGTGACAGTGGTGCAGTGGGTAGAGCAGTCGTCTCCCACCAGAAGGTTGAAGGTTTGAATCTCAGTGCCAGCAGTCCATGTGTTGAAGTGTCCTTGGGCAAGACAGTTAGATGTTAGAGCATCAGTTGAGTTGGTGCCACAGATGGCTGCCATCAGTTCTGTACCGGAAACAAATTCCTTGTGTGTAGCATACACTTGGCCAACTAAAGGTGTTTATCCTTATATTATAGAAGTAATAAAGAAACCCAGTAGTAAATTTGATGTACATTGTTATGTAATTGCATCAGAACATTACAGCAGGCATTTCTTTCATCCATAATTCATAATTGTATTCTATAGAATACACATACACCTAGAATTATAGCCACTTGTAATATTTGACCTAGAATCTTGACGTAAATAAAATTTGAGTTCAAGGCTCTGATTCAAAGAATGAAAGATACTTGCAAAATATATCACATATGATGTGCTGGACATAAATGAAACCTTTATATCACCTAATAAGTTATATTTATGTGATATTGTTTAAATTTATATTTATTAGAATTGCAATTAATGATTCCTTGGCTGATCTTATGTGAACATCATAATCTGTTATTCACATGAGATCAGCCAAGGAATTAAACAGTATGCAGTATATTCTACACTATAAATTGTATCTTTGACCTCTCTTTTAACTTACATGACCTGAAATTCCTTTGTGCTGGATAGCCTTTGCAGTGTGTCACCCCAGGATTTTCACTGGCCCCATCTGTCCTCCACCCCCTAAATATTTTCTGCAGATAACCATGAATAGAAAAATCTGCATTCACTGTGTTACTTGTGTTCTTCCACTCATTTATTCAAGATTTCCATATTTTATTGACACTACTTTACCTAAATGCACATTGGTGTTAGTAAAGAGTAATGAACACTGAATCTCATGTGGCAGAAAATGCTCTTGCACATCTTTCAGGCATGGAAGCATTTAGTAATGTAGTGCCTGTGGCCAGACCCCAAACAGTGACGTCACAACATGTGTTTTGCCATTGCCAGCTGATGGCAAACGCCTGCTGTGACATCACTGTTTGGGGTATGGCCATACATTTTGCTTTTCATCCCATTCCACTTTAAATTTATGATCTATGAATGACTGTGAAGTTTTTTCTATCAAATCTAAAATCAGTAATTAAAATGCGAATTGGTATTATAAGCAGTTCACAAGCAATGTAACATTTACAGATAATTATAACAAATACTCTCACGAAAACCCAGTAAATAATTAAACTACTACATAAAACTATACTAAATTAGTTGATAATTTAAGGTTATCTTTTGAATCTATGTAATATTTATGCAGGGAATGTTAGTACAGCAGCATCCTAGGTTGTGTGCAGCACTTTATTGACACAATAAAGCTGCATAGAAACACCTGAAGTGCTTTTTACTTCAATGTGCTGCACCAGCTGTAATTTACGGCACCTATTCAGAAAGCACAGAGCTTTGTGTTTAAAAAATGCTGTAAAAGAAAAAAAACTGAGTCAGACAAAAACATCAGACTGGCATCAAAATAACATCCAAACTAACACAAAACTAAGGAGACAGCCTCATTTATCCAAGACATTGTTCACAGTTTTATTTGAATTCATTTTAGTGTTTTTTTTTTTTTGTCAAACCAGGAAGCACTTTGTCATAAAAGGAGAGAATAAAATGAACAATACTTCACCATATCCTTGCAGCCAATAAACATTTTATCAACAACATGATCACAAATACTCTGGTGGATTATTAAATTAATTTTTTTTTCAAGATTGCAGTATCCAAAGAAGCTTATCCCACCCTTGGTTTCAGGTCAAATCCTGTTTTATTCAGCCATGGTTCCACATATACTGTAGCTATGCTGGAAAAGGGATTAAAAAAAAACTTTAAAAATGTTCTAGGTGAAATATTGGCTCACAGCTATTTCTAAAATAAAGCCAAATGAAAACACACAATATAAAACACAAAAGTCTGACATAAAATGATGTGCAATATAATCAACATTACAATTACTATCATATTCTCATTATCATTTCTTCATTATTAACATCGTACTCTCTACGCTACCACTCATATTAACATTACATTGACAATCTTAAAAATGATAGTAATAATAATGAAAATGATAGTAATAATAAAAAAGTTTAAAACAAACATGAAAAAATCAAAACAGTGACATCATACTGTAAGAATTTGATCCATTTTCCTTCAGCCTGAGGACAGAGGGTCGAACTGGGCTAACAAACAGGCAGAAAATGTTAAGAAATCAGAGTATTCAGTACCAGAGTGTGCCCGATTCAGATCTTTCTCTCCAGACAAAATAAGTGTTACACAGACATGACTGAGGTGTTAGAGCAATGTTGCTGCATTACTTCAACACCACAGCTGAACATGATGAGTAGATGTCACAGTTTGGGCCTCCATTTCTTACTCCTCCTCCTCCTCCTCCTCCTCCTCAGGACCACAGCAGTCACTGTAGGGACAGTGGTTCGAAAAGGTGGTTCATGTTGAGATTATGTTGTGCTAATTCGACTGAGTTCATGTCTAATGGCTGTAGGCAAAGAAGAGAAAACAAAGGAAGCAGGTTTATAATCATTTAATGAATTATCAGAATTGTTTGCAATGTACTATAATTTGTTGTATAGCATTGTGTAAATATGCAACAGACATAATTTTTCAAATTAAATTAATTGGATTTTTTATTCATGTAGTAAAATGTATTTTAAATGTTAATTATAATATTGTTTAAATGTGTGACTTACAGTCAGTATAATATGATACTTATTAAAGTAGTAGGATCACTTGACATCTATGATTGTTTATTATTATAATATTGTATAAATTCACCCAATGTGTTACAGCCTATATAATTTAATATTTGTCAGTTCATCAATCTATTAAAAGAATGAAGATTATTTATTTATTCCGGGGGTTTTAGGCATACATGAACAAACTCTAACATACAGTATACTTTTTTTTTTAGCACAATAAAATGCAAATTTTATTATATATGCATAATCATTTTGACTAATTTATATATATATTTGTTTAAAATGTAATACAAATGACTCTGTGGGCTGGCAATGTGATTAACATTCTAATAAAGTGAAACATTTGGCACATTTGTAGCTAATCAAGAAATGATAAGGTTGAGTAACAAGGAAATTGTTTATATCTGTGTGAATCAATACATTATTTATCTAAGTGCAGGTCTTTTAGGGGTTGATGTATGGCATTTCAATGCTCAGTTTTGTGGGATTCTAGTGCAACCTAGTGGCCAGCACTGTACACATCTACACAACTCACACCAACCCACTGTAACTTCCAATTACACCTTCATTAACATAAATTCTTTTAATAAGACAGTGTTCCTAAATGTTGATTAAATATCCTTCTTTAGTATTTCCACAGAAAATTAAACATACCATCAATGATTTCATCCTTCACTTTGTGCAATTCACGAAACACCTCTTCCAAGATTTCCTAATGAAGCACAAACAGATAACATAAGTGTTCATAATACGTCACACATCTCCTTATTTGCTGTACATGGGAAGCAAGTGATCAGAGCCAAAAAGCAAACAAATTATTTGGAAGACAAGTTATGTTTGGATAACAAAGTGGTCATATGCAAAAACAGAGGGGAGATTAGTCTCATCCAGACTTTGGATGGTGAAGGAGTGTTCATTTGAAGCTCCTGTTTGGAATAAATGTGCAGACATTATAGTGTGTGTTTTCTTTACCTGTTTCATTCTGTCGAGGTCTAATGAGTCTGTGTCGCTGCCGCTCCCCGCGGGTCGTACTCTGCATAATAAAAGTTATTCTCTATTACATTCTTTGCTGTTGCTCTGCTTTACAGACGTATTTAATGAGCCGTGGTTCGTCCATCTCTCACCTTGAAGCCATTGACCGGTCTGCAGAGTTAGCTCGCTCCCACGGCTTCTTTGCACCATCTTCAAAACAAAGGAGCAGGGTTTGACAGAATAACCAGCAGGGATTTATAGACAAAAAACAACATTTGCCTGACACATAGACTAATCATGTATGGTATCATTATGGTAAATGCACCTACAGGTGGTCAGGATGTTTTATATCCTGGTTGAGTGCTGCATGTATAAACATATGAAAGCACACCGCGTTCACCAAAGAAAAAAATGGAGGATATTATCTCATAATTATGAGATCTGAACTAAATGTTTCTCCAACAGGTTCTGAAGCTTTCCAAATCCTGCTCAGTACATGTAGCCTAATGAGTTAAACTGTAGGCAACAACTTTGAGGCCCATTTGTAGCTCATGTGTGTTTACGTTTTGGAACACTAAGTAGCAATTTTTGATTTTTTGACCTGGTGACTGCAAAAGCCACAACATATGATTGATATTATTTTCATGCTCATCAAACCATTAAGTGAACCCTTGTGCCCTGTGAATGGGAGTCATTCTGGAAGAGAGCACTCATTTGATTCAGGTCTTTCCCTTAATTTGCCCCCCTTCTGTAGGTAGACACTGTAGATCGTGTCAACGGAATGATCTTTAGAATAATCCCAGTCCCAGTCTGCTGTAAACATGTAAAAGCCTCTTTCTTACTCAGTGAATTTCCTGTGTGTTTGCTGAATGTCTATTTTTAATATGTCTGATTATCTCTGAGATGATAGGAGATGCCCATACGTGGTTCACTGGGCTCAGTTTCCCCACCTGTGGCATTCTGTCCAGCTCGGGTGCTGGGTGATGGAGAGTTTGGATCGTCCTAAAGAAAGACACAGAGATTAATAAGCATCCTTGAAACAACTGCAGTCATCATCATCATAATGAACATCGCTGCTAAGTTTTTCATCTTTTTATCACAATATAAAAAAATTAATATTAAGATAGAACAAAATAATGATCAATATCATATTCATGTAATCACAGTCACCTTATCATATTCCCTGCCTCAAACATCAGTTATCATTGTAAAAGAGACAGTGAACACCAGCTTTATGAATCACTGTTGTCTACTCACTCACATTGTGGCCATCCTCAGGCTTCTCTGAAGCCGCTTTCCTTCTGAGGGAAAGAACAAGTTTCAAGTAAGAACAGGGCATTTCATCCAAATCCATGAATGTCAACAGTTTTAACTACTGTAATAATAATAAAACCTGAACCCACCCCCACTGATTTAAGACTTTGGTGACCACTTATGTGTAATGTGGCTGCAGGATCTCTATGTAAAATGGTTTTGTGGTTTTCTTAATAAATCGCCCTGACCTTCGTGCCAACAAAGCATTCATCTCCTCCATCAGGCCCCCACTCCCACCACTTGATCGGTTGGCATCGTTTTTGGCGCCTGAAGAGCTGTCATCCGGCTGAGGAGAGGAGAGTCCAAAGTTACAGGTTACTCTTTTTTTTTACTTACCTTTTCTTTTTTTATACAAATAATAAACTTTTAAAGTTTGTCAGTGAAGTTTGGTAGAGTTAATCCACTTATATGACTTGGAGAAGGTTTGTCATCAGCATTGTGAAGATAAATCTGTGTCTCACTCTTTGAACGCGGCGCAGTTTGGCTTGAGCAATCATAGCTGCGAGTCCCGTCGGTGCAGGAGATTCATCCCCGTGACTCCCTCCACCCAAGGGGAGAGGAGGAGGGAGAGGAGGCTGTGGTGCCCCTGCTGAAGCTGGTGGCGGTCCCGGTGGTGGTGGAGGGGGAGGAGGACCACACATGTTCACTGGGGGAGGTGCTACTGGTGGGGCCACGGAGAGCACAGCGGGATGGCCTTGGAAAGGACAACCTGAAGGGAATTGAGTGTGATATGTGAAGATGGAGCAGACTCAGTCTCGGTGGTTTGATGATGATGAAAACCCATTTTACTGTGAATGAGAACTTTGCTGTATAAACTACAGTTGACCTAAGCCCGTTCATGTGATTACCTGAGTTGGAGGACCGTTGCTCTCGCTCCATGTGTGCCTGCATTTGCTGCTGCTGCTCCATCATTTGCCTAAAGGCCCAGGAAGGAAAAACAGCTGGTCACTTAATATTAACAATGCCACACATCCACGATTCTGTCACTGTAGCAGCTTGCAGGAAAAATGCAGCCAACAATCTCACAGCGGGCAGCCTCCTTGCTTAAACGTCAAACATTAGCAGACCCAAAGGGTAATGGCATGCAATATGAGCTAAAAGATGCTAAAACACTTGGTATCAAACCAAATGAATGAGCTAAAAGATGCTAAACACTTGTTAGGGCTGAGGGAGTCTTCTGTGTGTTCGTCACTAGTACAGTTTTAAATAAAGAGTTTTATTTTTATCTCACACAGAATGAACCTTACAGTAATGTATGTGCTATAGAACTTTAATGTGGTTTTGTCATATGTCCTCCTCCAGCTTTAACTAGAATTACCTCCACCAACCAGTGAAATTCACAGAAATGGGACAGATGTGAGGTCACTGACCATGATCTTTGACCACCAAAATCTAATGAGTCCAAGCAGACATTTGTGCCAAATTTCTTCTTCATCCTGGATTTGGACAAATTTACTACGAAACTTGATGTTTACTGAGAGCAACTTTAGTTTCCATGACTTCACTACTTTGTGCAAAATTGCATCTAAACTGTGGCAGATGGGAGGATTGTCTCTGTTTCTGTCTCTGTGCTACAGGCAGGTTTGTGCAGTTTAATGTTGGACCTAAAGTCATTCACTTGTCTACACATCTCAGACCTTGTTTTGTAGTAAGTAAACATCTTTCTCCTTTTCTGTCCAAACCCGCAACACTCTCCTCCATCTCAACTCTCCACCTCCTACTCCCATAAAATTTCCATCAGCTTCCCTCACGTCTCTCTCTCTCTCTCTCTCTCTCTCTCTCTCTGATGTGAGAAGCATACGTGCTGTATGTGACGATGCATGAGAGATAGAGAGCAAATGGTCCATGAAGAGGAAGTGGAATTTTCCAGCTGTGTGTTGGAGAGGAGAAGTGCTGAGCTAGCAGACTCCCCAGTGTGACAGCGGGGCACGAGGCAGAAGCGGAGCTGCTGAGCAGTACTGCCTCACTACCACTGGAGAGAGCTCGGTTAAACTCATTTGCATTCGCACACAAACCCGAAACCCACATACTGTACATAAGCATGCAATCCTCCCTCACAATCACAGCTGTAATCCTTTGTGCCAGAGGTACAGTTTAGCAGTCATGGGATCAGACTCCCATCATATTTGTTCTCTTAAGCCCTGGTATTTGACATTTGGATGAACCAATAGGCAGAGGTGAAACAGGTTTAAAAACACCAACAGACCCACTTGTGCCCAAGTGTGTCTCTGAAGGGGAGAGAAGAATAGCACTGGTAGAAATGCTGGTTGCATAATAAGTCATGAGAATTGCCTCAAAGGTCATTTAAAATACTACTCATCCATTGGTTTGGATTCTTCAATCTGCCACTATTATTCAGAAAAAAGAACCTTTTGTATTTAGCCTTTTTTTTAAAGCTCACTGTCTTTATCTGACTGTAACCCAAAGCCTTTAGTCCTGTGAGGTAGACAAAGAGTATTAGGGAGAGAGAAGTATTAAAGGGAATTGGGATAAAAGCCCTAAGCTAATTCCTAGAGTTTATATTCTCTGTGTGTGGCAGGTTATCAGACACATCCTAATATCCTAACACCTAACTGATTTCACTTAAAGTTCATCCACTGGTTTGGGGATAATTCTGTAAAATGACCCAAACACGCCACTGTACATGCACTAAAACACAAGAAAACTCATCAGCAAATATCTTCATAGCACCGCTGTCAAACTCTAAATATAACAGGAGAATAATTTTTATTCTCTTCGCTCTATAAACTTGGCACCAAGCAGCAGATAGACAAAGCTAGTTAGATGGTGAACACAGTGGAGCTTTTAGTCTATGATATTTCCCTCAGGAGTTGGTGGAATTCAAAACAGAGCCCAAATGAGAGAGTCAATATCAGGCTCAAGCCCTTTTCAGACATGCACTGGAACCCTGAAACTCTCTAGGGATTACCCGCTGGGGCTGTTGTGAGAATGCAAACATCTGAGTCAGCCAACCAGGACCTTAGGCAGACTGTACTCTGCCAGCTCCCTAGTACAAAGTCCATTTTAGGTCCGAGTGAGCCTCGGTGAGCTTGTGTGAGAATACAGCTGCATATAGTCTGGAGTACTCACACGAAGCTAGTGGGCATGTTGATGACATTCTATCATGTGAGTCATCAGGTGACCAGAAACCCTACTACAAACAAACACTAATGTTGGTCTGTATCTCCTGGATGCGTGCATGTGAAAAGTCTGCCATATCGTAGTTGTGTGTACAGTTTGTTTCCACTGCCCCCAACTGTCCAAATCTCTGTCAGTACAGGTTTAATGGGGCTTGATCATTGTTTTTAACCACTTCAGCAACACATGCAGATCATTGTACCTCGCTCTCTGAGCTTCTATCTCATCTGAAGTCGGCCCATTCTGAACCTGGCGTTGGACAGCTGGACCTAAAGGTGCACATGAAATTAGAGAGAGAGAGAAAAAGGCTCAGATAAAGTGACTTTAATAGTCCATTAAGAGCTTTATAATGTTTAGTAATGTTAATTAAAAATTAGTGCCAGTCAAGACAATTAACTACCAAGTGACAAGGAATTAAACAGCAGTCGATTATTATGTCCTCTTTCTTCTGTAATGAGTGAAATGAGAAGCATAATAATCCCTCACTCTAGGCAAATGAGCATAAACTGATTCATCCGCTTTTACAGTTGAAGGCAAGCAGAACAGAATCCAAGTTCAGCTGCACATAAGACGGAGCTGCTTGGCCCTGCTGTCACACTAATGATGTGATATGAGCTACAAGGTGCTGTAATGTAATCTGGTTAACACCACAAGTCAGATCTGCAGATTGAGAGCCAGATAGAGAATATAATTAATTTAAGATACATTTCACATCACTGAACTCCTTTGTGACAATATTAACTTTCACTGTTTCTCAGAGCAAAGGTTCAGAGTGTATGCTCACATCTGTGTCCTGGCACTGGTCAAATGAAAACATTTTGATTTTAGTGAGTTTTTTTTTTTTGGGGGGG